GCCGGAGCGTTGCCCGCCGGCGGTTCTCCCGGCCCCCAGCAGCACATCTTCCCCTTCACGGCAGGGCAGCTCCTGACGTGCTCCAGCACATAAGCATCAACTTCACCACAAAGGGGGAGGCAGGAACATGCAGCCGAAAGCAGGGACCCTCTTCCTCAGCAGCAGTCTGCACTTCGGGGTTAGCTTCTTGTGATGCAACCGTCACACCACGGCTTCATTTTTATAGCCAAGTTGTTTTACTTGACACCAGTTTCTACAATCTGCAAAGGTGGTAGCAGAGCGAGAAGCTGATCCTGTCTCTACAACCCTTATTCCTCATTGCTATGTTTTTCCCCCAGAGGAATTCATTTCGTACCCTTGATCCTTCTGCCACAGGTCACCATCACCATTACCCCTTATGCTCTGCTCACAGGTATGAAAAATCAGAGGGTAATTTGGGCTGAAAAGCACGCCTGGAAGCCATCTGATCCAAGCCCTTGCTCTAAGCAGGGCCTAGCATGAGTTGGTATGTGTTAACGGTACATGAATAGACTGTATCAAAAGCGAGAGCAGATTTCTGCCATGTATTAATAATTTAAACGTATTTCCAGGCTAACTTCACATGCTTGGCCGATGTAAAATGAAGGCTGAAGGGCTATCAGTACACCAATCGTCTCCCTGGAATACAAACCGCCTGAAGCGGAAACTAAACAGCCACTAGAATGCATCACCCACAGCGTACTAAAGGAGCCATTTAAATAGCCTGCATAAGGTAAAAATGACAAACTTCTAAATTAATGATATTGATTATAATTAATATAACAAAATACATACATCTGTAATACACCTTTTAACGCTTCAGGAGTTCTGAGAAGCTGGTAGTTCTTATGGACACCATAATGCTGTTTCAGAACACATATACACCTCAGATTTTTTTTTGTTTCCTGTGTTAACATCTTACAAAGCTGAGAACAGTTTAGAGCAATTTTTCTGAAACCTGCCCTATATCAGGAGGCCTTTCTGATGCATGAAGAGATCTCTAATGCAGTACAAAAGCATTAACAATTTTAGAATACCTTTAATGATATTAATATACTGCTGTGTTCCCTATGAAGCACCTTATTTCAAGAAACATGGACTTTAGTAGTATAGTGTAGGTACACACATACTTATTCTTCTACATGTATCTACCTACACATATATATATGCACACATTGTATCTATACAAAAATAAATGAATGAATAAATCTTAGCCTACCACTGAAGGAAACTGCTGAAGGATGCAAGAGGAAAGAGAGGGAAGAAATAACTGCCATTTGGAGCGTGCCCACTGCTCAGCTACCAGATAGTCTGCAACAGGAACTGGCCTCACGAACACCCAGCAGCCTGGGGCAGTTTCAGGCAGTAAAGCAAAGCCACACTGGTAGTCTGGAACAGCCAACATTCTTTTCTGAACTGCCACTGTGTGGGACCAAATCTACATACTTAATACCGAAGCAGTGTGCTTAGGAACATCAGCTTATGCCAGTTGTACACATACTTATGCCAGGAATTCTATACTTTTGGTGTCTTCCATGCAAGTTTAAGCCCACAAGGTTTGGAGAGAATTAAAGCTGCCCATCTGAATTTAAGTCCATTTCACTATTGTCTTTAAAAAGCAAACCTCCGAATCATGTATAGTTATATTTAATAAGCCATGAAGTAAGGTTTGAGACTTTAAACTTGCAACTATAATTTCCATTACATTACACACAGTAACAAAACTGGAGTAGATTTATCTTCCACACAGCACAACCACGAGAAGGTAGCTCTCGGTTTCAGCCACCTACCAAGCTTAATGTAACGCTGGTTTTCAGGACCTGAAAGGGAATTCAGGAGGCACCAGGGGTCAGAGAATTCTGTAGCCCCTTCACCTGCTGACTGGAACTTGTTCACTATGAACAGTCAAGCAGCTAAAGCCTCCAAGCCTAATGCTATATATGCTGATCACGTTCTTAACAACCTTTCAACATTTTTAGTGTTTTGAGGAATTTTTCATAGCAAAAAGCACCAAGCTGATGCCAAGGTAACACAGAATTTCAGACCCACAGAAGATTTTCCAGGAAACATCCACATGATTTTAACATAGGTAAAACAGTTTCCATTTTACCATGCCAAGCAACAAGTCTTCCATATACATAGACCTGCCACGCTTTTACACCTGAAGAGCATGTTCTTTAGTGTCACAGACAGCTGATACCTGTTAAAATTTACAAAGCAAGTAGAAAGGGCAGGGTGACACCAAAGAATGCTGAATCAGTGTACATGTGCTAGCAGCGCTTTCAGGACGTGTTCGCTGTGCTCAGTTGAGCTCCTGGAAGAGTCCAATGCAATTTCCCATTCAAAACTTGACTGTTCCAATAACTTTATGAGTTTATAGCAACATGGCACAAACGATCCTTTAGCTGCAATAAATTAACTGAAAACTGGTTTGAAACATTCTAGAAGTCTAAAATGAACTGAGTTTTCAGGAGATTGCATGACAAAGCAGAAGCCTCTGGATTTCTACAGGTAGTTCCTTCTCCCTTCCTAACCTACTCCAAGAAGTCTGTGCGTGCGTTGCTCCAACGCCCCTGGAGGGGATGGAGGGAGTTGCACAGGCAAAACTTGTAGGGAGCAAAAACAAACCCCAAACCCACAAAGCCAAGCCTTTTGAGCAAAACAAAGAAGTCAGATTTTGTAGCTGAAGTATTTGTCTCTTCAGCCACTCCCATCTGTCTTCATCTTGGCATAGGATGATGTGGGGTGGATTCCGAGAAGCCAATGGGCCATCCACAGGTGTCTATTACATCAACCCATCAGCTTTTACATGGGCAAGTACAATCTTGATATCAGAAGCTGTTTTCTTACAATGTACGTAAGCAGTCTACGTGCATATACAACCCAGCACAGCAAGTCCTGTACATGTTCACTTTCTACCATATTGCAAGCAAACCTGCAGGTAGTTAGACATAGGAAATATCTTGCTTAAAACCTTTAGTCTGAAACTACTAGCCACGTCAGCTTCAAGCTGGAAAACCTTCTGAAGAGTGTATTTAAGAAAACAGTAGATTTGGCCACATTTTCTGCTACTGTACTGTTACATGTCTTTCCAGGCAGAAGTCAAAGACCAAGAGCTCTGTAACTTCTGAATGTAGTTTAGTCGAAAGTTGAGGCTGAAAGAAGAAAATACACAGCTGATACATGTCTCCTGTGATCAGATCCAACATAATACATTAAATAACACATTAAAACACTAACATTCCTCCGCAATGCCCCTTTGTTTTTAATTATGGCAAAGCCCATGACGACTCTCGCTTGTTAGTTTTCTAATTATTTCTGCTAGAACTCAAATGCATCCTAAATATCCTTTAGAAAAAGAAATTTACACATCCTTATTTAAGGTCGAGTATGCTTGATGAACATTATCCCAGTAAACACTACAGGTAAGTGATTTCATGAGAAAGAACATCCCCGGTTTTTCCAAAATCAGGCAAATACTAAGGCCAGCACATAATCAACACAATAAGCAGTACTCTGCAGACCAATTTGTTTCGTATGCATCACGTGCACGCACACATTCCTGTACACAAAAAAAAAACCCAAAAAATGTTAAAATAATCCATTCATAAAGATCATCCTTAAGGGCTATTTAATGTCCATAAAGCTGAATTTGCAGAGGCAGAACACCACTTTTAATCACTGAATCTGTCAGTAGGCTTTAACACTGCACTTTGTGGAACGAAGTATATTTGTACTGAAATTTATCTCCAAGCAATATCCAGGAACACTTATTTTTCCTCCATAGAATGGGAAGTTAATTTTTTATATATATACATAGCTCCTAGCACCACATCAAAAGGGTACTCCAGTAAGATATAAAGCCTGATAGCTTTCTGAAACACAAAACTACCATTAGAATCTGTGCAAAGATTTCCCGTAAATAGCAATCGTCCAAAGTCACAACACTGTTCAACCTTATCACTATCTAAGGAACGCTCCTGATGAACCAGCAGCTATCAGGTCAAGTCGTCTTTACTGAAACCAGGAATTCTTTGTATTAGTTACCATTACAGCCATGTTTTGGTGAATATACATTCTCAAGAACACACAGCTTTTGCCTCCATAATGTGTGCAAAGAAAACACTAGAAGAACTGTTTTATTCAGCAGTTTTAAGTTCTCATGCATTTCACTCTTTAATTATTCTCAGAAAATCTTAAACTGTGCAATTATTGGGGCTGAAACTTAACTTCTTTTAAAGAGCAAGCATTTAAGTCACCTTCTCCTCCTTGCCCCAAATCTTTCGGATTACTTTTGGCATACGATTTTAGAAAAGAAACTTGTGTTTAAGCACACTGCCCCCCACCCCCCAGATAACCCCAAAACTGAACTAATTTAATTGCTTGTTAATGTGACAAAGATAAACAAACACCCAAAACCAAATAAAAACCCAAACCAACCAAAACACTTGCTCACCAGAGTATTGCTCTTCTTAATATCTTCTAAACGCTCTAAGACTGAAGTCAGGTTTGGGTCATCTGATTCTACAAACCATATTGGTGATGAAGAGGGGTAAGACTCCTGTTAAAAAAAAAAAACAACAAAACAACAGAAAAAGACCCAACAAATAAATAAACAAAAACCCACAAAGCTTATAAAACTCATTCACCCCCAAAATTTCACAACACAGTATTAACATCGCCTTTCATCTTACTCTGTCAGGCAACACAGAAGCTTTTAATACAGCGTTTTTAGGCACTGCAAGAGGAGCTGAAAGAAATCCAGCCAACTGGTTCTTCTAGTATCTCATCCTATTTTCATATTGATCAGAGGGGCATACGCAAGAAGCAGTGCCGAGAAGTTTAAAACCCCAGGGGCGGGTGGAGCAGCAGGGAGAAATCGAGAAATCCAGTACATGTGATCATTACCAAAAAGTGGAATCACAAGAAGTACATATCAAAGATCAGAACTATACTGATGCAAATTTTTCACAAAAATACAGATTCTTCCAAATAAAAGCCGTGAAAGCAACAAAACCTGGAGACTTCGGAGATCCTCCTCAAACAGGACCATTCAAACTGTTCTATGCCTGGCCTCCAGACTGAAGTAACATAGCCCAAATCTGCCGCAGATGACAAGTTAACAGGCAGAACACGATGCCAAAAACCTGCAGTTTTATCTTTGAACCATCAAGGCTCACAGGGGACTTCCCACTGCTGAAAGATTTCCCAAACAATATATTGCATACAACCCTATCAAGAAAGCTTACAGAACAGCTTACAGAGTCCTACAGTTGCTAGGCAGGTACCAAAACACACCCTACTGACAGCGCGATCAAATCGGTTCACAGGATTAGAAATATACTCCATTTTCCAGAACAAGCCATGGGCTTATACATACAATGTATGGAACAGACGTGGCCCACAACAGCTCATACCATCTATGACGAGTGGTGTTTCTGTCACTCAGTTGCTGCAGCAGCAGCCCTTTGCCTCTTGTTTAGATGTTTCAAAACGCAATTCCAATTTTTTGCTAACGCAGGCTTGGTAATATTGTGAGGATAAGGAGGAAATCAAGTAGCTTCCAATTTGACAGTAAGTGTCCCTTCGTATCATTGACATGTTTGGATTCTCTTTTTTTGTTTTAGTTATTTAAACCTTCTCCACTTCTTACCCATTCAATTAAATTTTAGTAGCTAAGGAAAAATTGCTGAACCTCAGTTTTATCACCCAGATATTACCTTCACATCCCCAGGTCTTACAAAATAATATGAGGGAATTTTCATTCATTTCCCTCACCACAGTGTAAAAGGAAAAATTCTGTACTTCTCATTCCAGAGACAACAAATCATGCTTTGTTCTTCAACACTTAAGAGTCAAGGTTCCTACTACTCTAACAGGCGACTCCAAAATGTGCACTATGCTTGCAAATTTACACTCTT